CTGATACACGCCACCAGGTGAACGGGCGTCACAGACATCAGGCCAGTGAGCAAAGCCAAATATAAGAAGGTCACATATCACACGATTCCGCGTGCCCATAGAGACAGAAAACTAGTGCTAAGGGATGGCGCTTTGTTTTTATGACGGAAAATGGATGTAGCCATACTGGTCACGGAGCATAGCGAATTTACTAAGTGCCACTGTATTTTTCACTGTAATAGCTGATGTCACCTCAGTGAGTTCTACCTTTAGAAGTCTTCTAACTAACCGAGTGATGTCTTGCTCGGGTACTGGTGTGATGTAGATGAGTTTTCAATACAGTTAGGATAAAGTTCCAAAGATACACAGTTCCAGTGCCGGATACCAGGCTCGGTGAGGCTCGCCTGATACATAGTTACGGTGCCGGATACACAGTCACAGTGCCGGATACCAGGGCTCGGTGAGGCTCGGTGAGGCTCGCCTGATCCACTCTGATATCTGGACGCACACTGCTGATCCAGACTCAGGGCTGCAGGGATGCTATTGCTGCGCACACAAAGTAGACTTGGACATCTCGAGTGACAGTCCCTGTGGGAGAAGCCTCTATCTCCTCCTCTTTTCTCAGGTCATAGATTGTTCACCTAGCTCCATTTGGGAGATTTCAGGTCTACAAGCAATTGTAAAGAGCGTTAGAGTGGGAATAGTGTTGCTTCTGTGGCAGGAGTAACTGTTTACACACAAGAGAAATGGGGGGCTTAGCAGGACATTTCTGAAATAGGAAGAACACACAGCAACTGACCTGGAGAATTACCCTCCCCCATTTCCTCAGTGATTATTTATAGTAAGACCTGTTTATTAGCAGCCGCAGAGGCAAGGCTGGTTGCATGTGAGACACTTGGGCTCTGAAGGCAGGAATAGTGCATATTTAAAGATCCTGTCTGTTAGATGTCAGATGCAGGGTAACAGTACATTCATTCATGTGCATATGGTGGTGTGCTACTGGACGCATTCTAAGCTGGGCATTGAATGAAGTAGGAGAGGTGCTCAGTTCAGTGTGTTCCCTGGATATTTTAGATAACTAGAGGTTGCACAGTAAAAATTCAAACACTAAGAAAACATACAACTTGGAATCCTGGATTTTTCGGGAAATTTAGAAGTAAACTAATACTTTCAGAAGTAGAGCTTAGGAATCCATCAAATGACAAACACACACTTTAGGGTCTTCTGTTTATTTTGAGACAGGGTCTCTATGTAGCCTACAACTTGCTGTGTGGATCAGGCTGGCTTCAAACTCTGCCTCTGCCTTCCAAGTGCTGGGATTAAAGTCAGATGCTGCCAGGTCTGACACACATTGTCACACTTCTTTCCAAGGATGGGAAAGCCTTAGTATCTTTCTCAAATGTATTTATAAACCTCTCTTTTGGGCTAGCAAGGTTGCTCAGTAGTTAAGAACACTGGCTGCTTTTCCAAAGCACGCTTTTTTTGGAACCCACGTGGTGGACTACTACCCCTAACTCCAGACGCCTCCTTGGATACGAGGCAGGCATTTGGTATACAGACATATATTCAGACAAAACACTCATACATTAAAAAAAATGTTGCGTCTCTTTTTATCCTGACTCTTAGATTTATAGCTTTTAGTGTTTTTGTATTACAACTTAAGGTAGTTTCTCTTTAAAGTCAAATAAGATCATCTTGAGGTGTAGATATTTTACAGAACTTTGATCTGGGTGTTCCACCCACCTTCAACTGAGACAGGGTTATTACGTCATTTTTAAAGTATCTTAAGTGATCTCTGTCGGGCTTGGGAACGCCAAAGCCTAGTTGCAAATGTTTTCCACAGTGGTCTTTGGATATTTCCACAGTAAAATTTAAAATCAGAGATTTTTTTCTTCCTCATATTATAACATGTTTACATTTCAAGCCTGTCATCGGCGTCTGCGATCAGTGTGACTGATCTGGGAGCCAGACTTGTTCCCTCTGTGTGACAGCTGCTGTCTCCTCTTCCAGGGTTACTTCATGACAAGCTGGGCTCCTACGATGTGGCCTTTTACCTTGCGGGAATCCCTCCCTTCATTGGGGGTGTTGTGCTCTGTTTAATCCCGTGGATCCATAGCAAGAAGCAAAGGGAGATGAGTAAAAACGCCGGAGGGGAGAAGATGGAGAAGATGCTGGAGAACCAGAACTCTCTACTCTCAGGCTCGTCCGGAATCTTCAAAAAAGAATCTGACTCTATTATTTAATGCCATATATACCTCCACTGACTGGATTTGCTTTTGAATTTTAAGCCAGTTTTCCTTTTATATGAATTACAGATTTCTTATTTTTTTAATCATCCTTGGAATAGCACAAATGGGACATGAAACCTTTATTACTACAAGAACCATTTTCTCTCCCCAAACAGCTTTGATATTTCCACGAATCAGGGGGAAGAGAGTCTGTTACAGGCAAGCATGTCTGGAAATCAAAATCGAGCATTCAAAGCTATCAGTGAGGAGCAGCCGTGGAAGCCTGGGCCGCTGTCGGGGGCTGTGAGCCGCAGCGTGCCTGGAGCTGCGCTGGGCGGGTCGCTCACACTGGAAGCACGTTGTTGCTTCACTTGGTGTCTTTACTTCCAGTCACTTTCTCCTTCATTTTGGAACTTTTTGCAAAATTTAAGCCCGGATCCTAGATAATAAGAGGCCAACCGAAACCTCGAGTCTGGAAATGATTTAAGCTATGAAATTAGGAGCCGCTTGCGCGCTGCCGTCAAGGAGCCTCCCGGGAGCAGATGCTGGTGCCGCCACCGGATGGGAGCTGGGAGGGGTCTGTGGAGGCAGCCGGCAGGTGTTTCTTCCACTAACCTTTGTTCCCTTTCGTTTGTAGTGTGCTTTACTCCAGTAGCCACAAACACCCCAAATTTCTGATTTTGTATAAACAATAAAGTGAAGTAGAATGTATAAAAGATACCCTGGCGACTTTAACAGAGTTTTTCTGACTTCCGGGTTTGTTAGCACTGTGTTCACCTGCTTTGTTGAGCGTGTTATCAGCTGGAGGAGTGGACACAGATTGGAGGGTCTATCCATTAGAGAAATGTCTGACAGAAATAACTGCTTAAACGGACTTGTAGAACTAGTGATTTTAAAATGTTAAATACATTTGTAAAAAGCCAATTCTTAAATTTTCTAAATTTTTAAAGCAAAACTTTACATTTGTATGTACAGTCTTGTGATACACTGAGGAGCCTGGTGGTGGGTCCTTTCCCTATCTGCCTGCTATGGAGTTTCCTTACGCAGACTGAGAGACTCCATTGAACCAAGAGGTACAATCTTTCCATAAAGTATGGAGTATACTCCTCGTCTTTGACCGGAAAATTAATGTGATATTTATCTGCACTAGCTTATTAATTCCCTCCATTGTCCCCCATGTGTGTCCCAACTGTAGAAAGCAAGCTACAAGCTTTGAGGACCTAAAATTAAAACCAAAGTTGGGCTGTGAGCCATTACTCATTTATTAAAACAGGAACACACTCTTATTATCTTTGAAATTATATGTTAGACTTTAAAGGTTAAAATGCAAAGTATACTTAAATCATTAGCCTAGATGACCGTTAGTCAGAGTTGAATGTAACTTGCTTGTTCGTGTGAGAAGGATGTTATCTTTCCCTAAGCATTTCCAGGATCCTTCTGTTACTAAGTTATCTGGAAGGTGAAACTTAATTGTGTTATCTCACTACTCAGTATTCCCTTTCTCCATCTGTCGGATGGGCCACCTGGAGAGAATACAGACCTGTTCTTGTTGAGAGAGAGGGAAGAGGGGCTAGGAGTTGAAATGAAAGCTGGAAGCTTTCCCTCTTAATTACAGCTCTCTTACCTATTGTCTTGCAAGAGCTCACAGCCTAAATGTTAAGTGTAGAAGTTATTTTAATGGGTTTGAATAATTATAATTTATTTATTATTTATTTATTGTGAGGTGGAGTCTAAGGGGATCTGACTAGTCTTCATCTCCAGTCTGTTGCTTCAGACCTGTGTTGGGATGCTGGGGTGTTCTGCTGTGTGTCGATAATTTTGCTTTTGAAGACCCAAGCTGGCATGGAACTCACTATGCAGCCCAGGCTAGCCTCAAACTCACAAAGCTCTTTTAGGTGTTTTGAAACAGGCTTGCTGTGTGGCCCAGCAAGGAGTTGGAACTTGAGATTCTCCTGCTTCAGCTTGCTACGGGGAGGAGTCACAGGAGTGTGCAGCCATACCCGGCTTCAACCTGCTGCCGACAGTTGCTTTCCTGTTTTAAATTGACGAGGGGTCTTCGGCAATTTGCTTGCATAAGTTCTTTCAGGAGGGAAAATATTTTAACCACATTGGCCTTTCTTGTTCTTTTCTTTCTTGTCTTAGATAAGGTTTTACTAAGTAGCCTGGCAGGCCTAGAGCTTCCAAAGACATGCCAGCCTCAGCCTCCCGAGTGCTGGGGTTACAGGTGCACCACCATGCAGGCTGTCTCCCGTGGGCTTCCATTAAGCACCGAGAGAACAGTTGGAGTGTGATAGCACAGTCATTATCAAGCCTTTCACTAGTGACTTCCCTGTTATTCGTTTATGTCACACCTCAGTTGCCTGAGACACTTCATCATTGTTAGTGCTTTCAAAAGCTAAGGCGCCAGAGAGCTGGCTCAGTAGGTAAGAACAGGACAGCTCTTAGTGAGGACCCGAGTTCAGTTTCCAGCAGTCACATGGTGGCTCTCAACTGCCTGTAACTCCAGTTCCAGGACATCCCAATGCCGTCTTCTGAGCTCCTGCATGCACACAGCACACGGCACTCGCAGGCATATATACACACACACACGTAAAAATAAATATTTAAAAGTTAATTAAAAATATACAACTAAGATAAACAGTCCTGCCGTTAGAAAACATTAGAGCAAGGTTTATTGTTTGGGGGCAGCTACAGAGCAGTGTCAGAGCCTGATCAAGGGTGGCTCTCTAATTAAGCTGTGTCCTCACCTTGGGGTTAATACAGATGTTGTTCTGCCTCTGATCTTACAGAAAAAGTAGCTCTAAAATGGAAAGCTTATTCTCTAAAGAATTATATGTACAGCAGGCTAGCCTGGAGTTTATAATCCTCCTGTCTCTACTCCTTAGATGGTTTCTGTTATTGTTGCTTGTTTGCTATTTGTTTTTGAGACTGGGTCCCTATGTAGCCTTGGCTGTCCTAGAACTCATTTTATAGATCAGGCTGACCTCTCTCACAGAGATCACCTGCCTCTGACTCTGCCTCCCCACTGCTGGTTTCAATGCTGTGCACTACAGTTCCTGGTCTCTGTCTCCCTGAGTGCTGAGTTACAGGGACAGAGGTTAATACGGGAGAGGTGCTGTTTCCAGAGAACAGGGAACACATGACATGACATGAGGTTTATTCTACAGAATGCTTTTACCAAGTCTAACAGCAGCCTGCGTGCTAACCCAGAAGTACCCAACCTCAATTGTGATGTTTTAAAATAAATCTAATTATAGGTACCCTTCTGTTTCAGTGGGTTCTGGAAGAAGAGTGTTTCAGCATGAGAATCAGGAAGCAGCTTGGACATGATAGGGACTCTCAGCATAAAATAATGTCGAGAAACCATGTTAGATCCGAGAAACCACGGGGAGCCTGGGAAAGGTTCTGCAGTGTGTAACATTTGTCTGCATATCAGTAACTATAGACAGCTTAAGTTATTCATCAAGGTTTATTTTACTCATGTATTTGTGCGGTTCCCACGGAGGCCAGAATGGGGAACCATGTACATCCCTTGCAGTTACTGGTATTCGTGAGCGGCTTGATGTGGGTGCTGGGATCTGAACTCCAGTCCTCTAGCTGAATAGTGAATGCTTTTCCCCCACTTGGAGACAGGGTCTCCCTATGTAGCCCTGGCTGGCCTAGAAATAACTGTGTAGACCAGGCTGGCCTCTTGCTCAAAATAGCTGTTTGCTTCTGTCTTCCTTGAGCTGGGATTTCAGTAAGGTGTATACCACCACACCTAGCTGCTGTAAGCACTCTTAACTGAGCCACCTCCCAACCCCATAAGTGTTTAGATCTCTGTGAGCACAAAGCGTTTCTACTAAGCTCTTCCCTACTAGGTGAAGGTGATTTTCATAATATAGTCTGCACTATAATATTCTCTTAAGGACCTAGGATTTGTTATTTTAACAATATAACAATATTTTGACCCCACACAATTCAGGTGCCTCTAAAAATCGGATCAAGGTTGCTATTAAGCTTCATATCCCTTTCAGAATATTTTTTTTAATTGTAAAAGATTTATTTTTGTGTGTATGGGTGTTTTGTGTGCATGGGTATGTATACACATGCATGCAGTGCCTACAGAGGCCAGGAGGGGGCCTCATACCCACCAGTACTACTGGAGCTGCAGGGGCTGTGAGCTACCCTGTGAGTGCTGGGAACAGAACTCTGGTCCTTTGTAAGGACAGTGTAACTGTTCAGTGCCTCTCCAACCCTCAAAGACTTTTTTTATTTTTAAATATATGTAACACAATGGGTATTGTGTATAACCAACAAAACCATACACGTATTTTGTATATCTGAGAAATTTTGCCTATGAAGTTATTACTGAGTTCAAACACATGGAAGTATCTGATTGTTGTTAACACTTAATGATTTAAGTTTTGTTTATAAAAAAATGGTCATCAAATCCAACCTTTGGAATGAACATGGTCCCCCAACAGAATAGCTTTAAAGAAAAAGTCCCTTCTCAGTATAGCTAGCACATAGTAGGATGTTTAAAATTACTCATGGGTTGAGGATATGACATACTGGTAGGGTGCTCTCCCCACGGGGCCACAGCCCCTAGACTCACTTCAAGAGGTGAAAATGGACAACAGCGGGAAGGGCGTACAGAAGCTTTGAATTGGATTAGATCAAGGAGATATTTTGAACATTTGAGCTATTTAATTGTTTTTCAGTCAGATTTTGGAAGTATTGGTCTTAAAATTTGGATGAGTTACTTGTTAAGTTTTGTTTTGTTTTGAAATTTGAAAAATGAATTCATTGGAAGAATCACTGTCCGTCTTTTAGATTTGACACAGTCTAAAACTGCTGTGAGTGACAGTGTCAGTCTCCTGTCAGGTCCTCTCAGCATCATGCTGTGACAGCATCAGACTCCCCTCCCCCCAAAGCAAAACAGGACAATGCCACCAAGAAGCACAAGTCCCAGTCCTTGAGATCCAGATACCTGGAGGTCACGGGAAAAGGAGTGTGTGTGTGTGTGTGTGTGTGTGTGTGTGTGTGTGGCTTAGGTCAGTCCTGCTTTCCTTCACAGACTTAGCCTTGGCCATTTTATAAGAATGAGAAAATACAGCCGCTGCTGCCTTTCTAGAGAGCCGTGCACTCGGGCGCTGAGGGTGCTGGGTTCACTGAGCTATGGGGCCTCTCTGATGGTGGTGTACAGGTCCTTGAGCAGTGCTTCTGGCGAGTGGTTAGAGCATCAAATAACGGAAGGCCATAGAGGTGGCTCACCACACCAAACACCTGTATATTTCACAAGTTCAAACTCTGTTAGCAAAACCTAATATTCCAAATATACCTCGTGCTCCAGGCGTGAGCGCCCTCATTCCTTCCCTCCTTCCCTCCCTCCCCCTCCTCCTTCTCGCTCTCTCTCACTCTCTCCTGCAGAAGGTGCCAGCTTACCCCATAGCTGTATAAATATAGCTGACTGTGAAAAGACCATGCTGGGTTTGACCAACATAGGTATTTTCCTAGTTTTGAGAAATCCTGTTTTCTTTTAAAATAATATAATTTGTAATTGATTTTTAAAAATGTGATTTATATATTTAATATAGATAACCAGAACCTTTTTAATGAAGAGTGCTTTGTACTTTGGAGAATACAGTCATTTTACTGTGGGGAAATGTGATATTCTCAGTAGTAAATGCAATAAAATTTTTAGCAAATTCCTGTAAGATCTTGTGATTGTATTTTCTGGGGCAGGGGAATTACTGAAATGAACAATCTATCTTGAAGAGAAGTAAAGTGTTTGTGTTTTATGCTGTGCATTTTCCAGTGTGTTTGGATAGTGCCATTCCTCAGGGGATGTCTCAGCATGGTCTAAGAGTTAAAAGCTTTAAGTCCTGTTCCTATCAGGGAGCATGTTCCTGTCACCATAATTAAACTCACAAATTCAGTAGACTAAAGTTGGGTGGGATCTTTGCTCTTGGTTTGTCACTGGTGCCCTATCTTGAAGCTAGGCTGTCTACGGGTGCAGCATCCACAGGAGAGATGCCTGTGTGGCCTTCTTCCCCCAGTCTTATGAAATGGAATGGCTTTTGCTGTAGTGGTAGTTGCAATGCCCCTGGTATGGGTGACATGGGTGTCTGTCTGCCATGTGGTGTGGCGTGGCAAGCCTCCTTGATGAATCTGCTAGAGAGTATGTCACGGTCTGTGAAAGTGTCACACACGGAATGGGATTGTCAGAGGGCTGTGGCCTCTGTCCTGGAACTCAGTGATCTACCTGCCTCTGTCTCCCAAGCACTGGGACTAAAGGCACCATGTCCATCAGTCACATGGTTCTGGGCAGTAAGCCTTGGAGCTGGGTCTGAGCTGTTTGCCCAGAAAGAACTTACCCACATAAAGGAGGAAGGATAGAGAGAAGACATGTGGATGTTCTCTATGGTTGCCTCTGAACTGAGAGAAGAATTAGAGAGGAAAGGGGGAGGGAGGGCAGGAAGAGGACTGGCTTGCCGTTTCTCATGGCTAGGGAGGTAGCAGGGTACAAATTAGATCTGTGCAACACAGCCCCTCCTGGGATCCTAAGCCCTGGAACCCATAGAAAGAACTGGACAGTGAGGAGGGGGATTGCAGGAAAAATGTAACGGGGCCAGTCCCCACGAATGGCCTTTAACAGAAGGCAAATCCATGGTCTGGCACACGAGCAGGGACCTTAATATAGATCAAGACAGAACACTGATAACCGGGGAGTTTTCTACCATTGAACTGCTTGAACTAGGAAATATTTTAAAGCAAGAAATAAGATTCTCTCACAGCCTGGCTGTGACCATGAGGACAGAGAGAATCAGTTTGCATGCTGTGGACACAGAAAACAGTGGTCTAACTACCCATTTCTCCTCGAAATGAAGGCTGCGTAATTAGAGGTAATGCGAGGGAAACCAGACTCTGAGGGACTAGCTCACGGGCCATTAATTGCATTTAGTCATTGACAGCTGAGGTCGCATGAACAGCAGGGCTGGAGGACACAGAGGAGAGAGTGCTAGGAACAGCTCTTTTCTACTGAAGGTGCCGGCTCGGCTGCCAAGGGCCAATAGTCCGTAAGTATCTCCAACCTTACACAATTCTCACACAAAGGAGATCAAGTCTTTTACTGTCCCACACGTGGTAAAACTCTTAAGCAAAGGCCGTGCTGCTTTCCTGAACTTGATCATAGCAGCCAATCTCTTCCCATTTTCCTTTGGAACTGCTTTCCAAATTAGCCAATTGGGAGTAGACTGTGAGGTTGAACTCAGCCAATGAGAAACTGCTAAGCTCTCCAAAGCAATCCTTTTAGACAAAGGCCATCTTGGCTGAGTGTACTGCTTGCTTGCCTGGTTTGGACCATGGTACCCCCTTTTTACAAAAAGTAATTATCTTGTCTTCTTCTTCTTCTTCTTCTTCTTCTTCTTCTTCTTCTTCTTCCTCCTCCTCCTCTTCCTCCTCCTCCTCTTTCTCCTCCTCTCCTTCCTCCTCTTCCTCCTCCTCTTCATTTGTGTGTTTCTTTGTGTGACACTGACAATATTTCTTTCTAATAACAGGAATTCCGGGGAGAAGGGGACATGCATAGGCAGCGGTCGATGCTGGTTTTACTGCAAATGAGATTGCTTACAGGGGAGTGAAGAAAGAAATTGACCAGCAGAGACCTAGGAACTGTCACTGGGTTTTGGTAGCAATGCCAAGCCCCATGGTGGGATCTGGTCTTTACAGGACAGGAGAGGCTCTAACAGATTTGGATGGTTTATATTGGTGTATAAATTGAGTTCTTAAAGTGCTAAAGAAGTAAAAGAGAAATGGGAAAAGGGAAAAAGCAGGTGAAGGCCCTAAGTCACTAAAAAGGGAAAATGAGGTGATTTGTGAGGATCTGGAGTCTCTAAAGAACAGAAATCCACGGCCAAACTTAGTGCTTGTGAAACATGGGAATGTTCAAGGCTGGCACAAACGTTCAATGCAGGTAAAACTGGCAGAGCTGTTCAGTGAAGACACTAAGTATGTCCCAGAGGTGGAAGTTGTTTCTACATCCAGGGTCCCCTCAGCAGCCGTGTAGCCAGGGACAGCAGGTAGCCGCAGCTTGGGGCCGAAAGACTGTCAAACTCGGGGGTCCTATGTGGGCATAGCGGTGAGAGCATAGAGTGCTATCCTTTGGACCTGGACTGGTCAGGGCCTCAGAGCAATCCCAGCTCCATCAGCTTGTGGAGTTGGGAAAGTGCATGGAAGTCCTGTGGCGAGCACCAAGACTGAAGGGGTGAGACGGGCTGTGGAGAATGCCTGTGGGTTCTAAGATAGAGCTCCAGTTCATGCTGCTGTACCCAGCATTAATCTTTATATAATGTTACTATACTTACATCATCTCTATCCATCTTCCATGCCCACCTTCAGGCCCCTGAATTTATGACCTCTTCTTCTACAGTCAGTGTTATTGCATCCCAACATTAACTTTTTGAGGAGACGTTGGTACAAGCAATGGAATCTTGCCATGTTGTAGTGGACCTTGCTAGCATTTCTCTTCTCTTTGTAGCACTTGCCTCCCAAAAGCAACTGGAATGCTAGGTGGTGGGCCTACCACGATCCTGTTCACTGTTTTCAGAAAGCTTTCAGTTTCTAGGGGATACACCGACAATGCCTGACTGTTTCATTGACTTAGAAAACCATCAGGAAGATGGGCACACACAGGGGAACACGCTGTGTGCAAGAGGTCTTGACAACTGCATGGTTGGGGAAGGCACAGAAGCCCCCCGACATGGTGAATGAGAACTCTCCAGCAGCTGGTACCTGTTAGTGTAAACACAACAGCCGTTGAAAGAAGGCTTCATGTGTGAGCAAAAGAAGATGCTCCCAGAAGCTACAAGATAATGAAATGAAAATCCAGTGCCAGAGGTGGGCTGCCTCCCTACAAGCCGTCTGCCGGCCAGAGCAGTATTGCCACTGCTGCTGGGTCTCAGAACTGTAATTTTACAGAAGTGAATGTTACCCAATTCCACAGTAGTTCATAAAACTCAATTAGGTCTTTAAATTTGATAAGGCTTTTGATGAAGAAGGCAGATTTAGAAATAGCTATGGAAATAAAATGGGCGGGGCTTAGTGATCTGTTGAGAAGATAGGCAGAAGGAAGCACCAGGGTGGGGACAGCATGTGGTACCCGCCACGGGAGGGGAGGAGGTCTCCAGAAGATGAGGTGAGCTTGATTTGAGTGATGAGTTACAGGGATATGAGCATCGTCTTCCTATACAAATATAGGAAATATATTCGCCCGCATTGGACCTCAGTACACAAGCAGGAGCGTGTTGCTGAACTCCAGCCTTCAAAGCTCTTAGTGCACACCTAGCCAACCCCTGCCATGTCCTCTGTACACCGATTATTTCAAAGTTTCTCATAGACACCTTCCCCAAGACTTGAATCAGAGTAGCTGACCTTAGATTGTAGCTTCGGTATGTCTCTTTAAATGTGGTTAAGTTACTAAGCTAGATAAGTGCAACAGTTTAAGGCCAGCCTCCCCTATCACCTGTAAACTCCATGAAGGTAGCAACTCTGTGCCTCCTGTGTGTGCCTCTGTGCCTCACCTGGCACAGCCTGGCCTCAGACAGTGTCCTCACGTGTCTCTGTAATTTGTACTAACAGTTGCTTTCTCTTGTTCACTGTTATGTCAACTTACCTTCAAAAACCCATATGAAACATGACCTTCTCTAGAACATTCTAAAACCCTCCCAAGTGGAGTTGGTCCTATCCTTCCATCCTGGTGGCTCTTTGTTTCTGTTGGTCTCAGCTCTATCTGAGCACAAACCCCGTAACCAATAACTAGATTACACAAAGTGCTTACTCAGCACCTGGGAGGCACTTGGTTTGACCCACAGTACTACCAAAGAAAAAATCGACTGACATACATTACTTCAACTAAAATAAATCTCAGGCTACTCTAGCCAGAATGCCAGAATCAAGTTTTTTCTTTTACTTTTTGAGATGGTTTTCTTATGTAGCCAACACTGCCCTCAAATTCATGATTCTTTTGCCTCAGTCTTCCAAATCCAGGAGTTTGGTAGAGGCCTCTAAGATGGGCAACCTTGAAGGACTTGCTATCAGTCACCACCGTGATGTTCTATAGATATCCATTGAAAAAAATCAAGGCACACTTTAGAAATCAACTAGAACAGCTGTTGTGATAGACTAATCGAGATTCGTGGGGGATGAGGACTCAGATATGGAAAGTTGGGAACTGGTGAGAGCTGCTTCTGAGGTAAACTGGGAAGACGGAGGAAGATGGAGGAAGATGGAGGAAGATGGAGGGAGATGGAGCGATTAAACCTCTTATGATAAAGCCAACAGCAAGAAGAGAAAGAGAAGATAAATTGAGAGAGTGATCAAATGGATTTTTATCAAGAAGAGGTTGTTTGGTAGGTTCTTGTGTGTGCGTGCGTGCGTGTGTGTGTGTGTGTGTGTGTGTGTGTGTAGAAATGAGTCACTTGAGAGAAGAAAGCTGAACCCACGATGCTCTAAATGACAGTTCCAACCCTGTGGCCTCAGAGAGTCCTGGTTAAAATCACTGGGTCACAATACCAAACTAAAAGACATGAATGTGGGGAAAGGGACCTTTGCAGGGGTGGGGAGAGTGTGACAAAGACAGGAGGAAGATTAGAGAGGGTGGGGTGAGGGCAAACAGAAAGCATCATTCTGCACCAGTCACGTGTGAAACCGTCAGAGGACA